GAGTAGAACCATCTCAAGGAGGATCAGAAGAAATGGACAGCATGTGAGTTAAATATGAGTGTCACAGCAAAGGGTCTGAATACTTATGACCATGTGATATTTCAGTTTTTCTTTTTTAATAAATTTGCAAAAATTTCTACATTTCTGTTTTTTTCTGTCAAGATGGGGTGCTGAGTGTACATTAATGAGAAATAAAATGAACTTTTTTGATTTTAGCAAATGGCTGCAATGAAACAAAGAGTGAAACATTTAAAGGGGTCTGAATACTTTCCGTACCCACTGTACATCAGCCACACATCATAGAGCCTTTATTGGGTCTAAATGAAAAGATCAGTAATGGAAATCTAGTGATATTGCCTATGGTTCAGAAATGAAGGCCTATTGTCTGCGATGCCATTTAACAGACAAATGTTGCAACGATGAACATCTGCTCAGACGATAATTTGTATTCCTTGTGCTCGACGAAACGGCCCCTAACGGCAGCCATCAATCGAAGGGAATAAGTGTGGCTTTTACTTTAACATAATATTGTGTGGAGGCCTATTGTGTAGGCAGGCAGACTGTTGACATTTTGCTCTCCCTCTCTTTCTCATTTTCTCCCACTCACTTTCTCCCCTCTCTCTCGCTCTGTTGCTGCAGCCCAATGTGAACCTGGCTTCATCTTTGTTTGCACAATGCAGCAAAAAGCCTTGAGGGGGGGTGGTGGTGGTGTTTGTTTTGTTTTGCTTTGCGTCTTGTTTTCCGGGCACAGAGAACAGTCGTCCAGTCATCAGCGTGGTTGCCCCCCCCACGTGCGCCGTTAGTCAATTAGAGCTCCCATTAAAGACAGCGGCACCCTGGGAAATAAAGGCAGCGCTGTGGATTTGTCTGCGCTACGCTGATTTCCACCCGTAAACCCTCTCCAGGCGAAGAGATTGCAATAATTGGGATTCTGACAGTGGGTTAGGGGGACTCATTGCCTTCCTCTCCTCCCCTCCTCTTTGCCATGCAATCATGTCTATCCTTCCCGGCACCCACCTTTTGCACTTGATCCTCCCCCCTCTCTTTATCTACAACCACATTTAGCCAAAGAATTACTGATGCTTTTCCTCCTTAATCTAATTGCTCTGGGTGCAACTGCGGGAGCCTCGCTTCCTAAGCAGCCACTTCCCACCGCTGACTGTCTGACTGTTCTTCCAAATCATACACACTGTGACCCAAAAATGCTTTTCAATCACGTGACTTACCGACTTGCTGTGGGGCCTGTTGAGCATGTTCTGTACAACTAGCCGTGTTCCTTTTACAGTACATACACTATATATCAGCCTCTGAGTGTGAAGGCTTCGCGTGTGCGTCTTTGTGAGACAAATGCAGGTGAGGATGCGGTTCATTGTTAACAGAAACACTCGGTATTCCTTAACAGAGAGTTAGAATGATGCACTGGAGTGGATTCTAAAAATGTGAATACAGACGGTGGGAATTTATGTTTATGGGATAAGTCTCTTGCTTCTCTTTACACCGTAAGAACGCTAAGAGTTCCTCTCTCTCAGGCTGTTGGTCTCACAGTCAACGATCATTCCTCACATTGTTTCCACTGGACTCCAGAAGTGGAGGAGCGTGCAGAATATGTAACAGTTGCACTTTATTTATTTATTTTAACCGCTGTCATGCTGTGTGATGTTCCATGTTGACTATTCTGCCTAAGAGTCCCAGGCACAAGCTGCGCTGCTCGTTTTACGCTGTTTTCTTTTCCTTTACCGAACTCCGTCATAACAAAACAAAAGAAGCACGACAACAAAGATCGTCTCCGTCTGAACCGTCGCTGCTCTTTAACACGAGCCACGCTCCCGCCGACGAGACCCCTTGAACTCACAATAGCGTGGGGGTTAGATGATCAGATTACTGTGAGGCGCACACATGGGTGTTGTTAAGGGAACATGGCTCTCATTGTGCCCCGCTGGAGAGAGGGCTTTTCCTTCTGGGGCATCTCTCTCTTCAAGGCCGTCTCTGCATGAACAGCCCTGGTGCGGTTCCTCCACTCCCAGCACATCTTACTGAAACTGAATCTCACTTGTGAGACACAGAAGCACAAAAAGGCCTCAGCAATTTGATGGAAGCACCCCCCCCCCTTTTGCTGTCAATATTTTGACACATTTCATGACAGTGTAATTATTTGCCCGGGATCCCTGCCAAGGATTTAATTGTTACATGCGTAATTACACGTTTAGTTGCGGGGATGTTGGAACAAAGCGCCGGTTGCATCCTTAATATCACGACACAAATAGCCTCTTTCATCTTGGGTGCTTTAACGCTGTCTCTGTGGCGCCATAATCCGGCTATGAAAGAGGATATTCCACAAACCCTCTGAGGGCACCTCTCACAAATCAATTCATCACCCCATAATATCGGCAGGCAAAGGCGCATCTTTCATAGATCAATTCATTATCCGACTTCTGGCAGTTGAAAGGCGGCGGCTGACCACAGTTTCAAGTGGCGATATCAGCTTTCAGTGTTTAGGAAGATGACTATAGCTTAGCGAGCAGTCCAACTGGTGGCGGCCTTCCGTCAAAGAGAAGGGCTTCTGAACAACGGGGTAACCGTAGAATGATATCCTCTTTAACAGTAATGCTTTTATTTTCCTTCTGGGTAAAATACACACTTCCCCGTTTGTTTGCGCTGAGGCTCATAACTATTGTATGGAGCCATAAAATCCATCTCCGTACGTAGCGTTGTGCTGCATTCCACGGCTGCACTCTCTGATAATGCATTCTTCTCATGAAACTTTAATATTCAGTCGGCGTGTCACGTGAACGGGGAAGACCAAGTGACGGAGAGAGAGCTCCGTGTTCACCGATACGTGCTTCCCTCAGGGTCCATGAGCCCTGCAGCGCTGTGCCTGATGCAGAGGGGACAGGGCTTCTCTTCTGGTGGACTTTGGGTAACAAAGCCAGTGTACAGCAGGTGAGAAGATATGAACCTGATGGCGGTCAGAAACAGAAGGTGACTTCCCATGCCCAGCTGCGCGAGGATATAAACGAATCGACATGCTTTCCCCGTTAATCTGACAGCATTCAATTGTATAATCCCGTTTAGCACAAAAACACCATGACCGAGAGGACACCCCCGAGATGTTCCAATCCACCATACGCATTGAATTACACGTGGGTCAAAAAACACAGGCAGATTTGTGTAATAACGCAGCGCGCTACAGCAGAGTAGCCGTGTTCACGCGGCCTCCCGTTGGCCTGTAGTCCTTCAGGAGGAGCCGGCGTCTGTCCTCATTAGCAGTCATTGAACGGAGCCTGGCAAGTGTTTGGGAGGCAGCACCCATCACGCTGCTTCTCCTCCCAGCACACACACACACACACACACACACACACACTGGGGGATGTGTTGTAATTACAGGCGCACATAAGAGAGGCAGCGATGAAACGCAGGAGGGTGGTTTGTTGTAGAGGGCTGGAGCAGCACGGCTCCAGTCGGCAGGCGACGCACTGCCGTGCTGTTTCCTTGTGATCGAGATCCCTGAGCACGTTGGCCAAATACCACCTGCCAGACGGCGGATAGGGCACGGCACAGGTAACCGCTGGGCACATTGATGTTTTGAAAAGCCCAAATCGATTTTGCCAGTGAGGGATTCCAATCTATGGGAAAATGCGGGCAATTTTGCAAAAAGATCCTCTTTGTCCTCTTGGGTGGAAGGAGGCATTCTATGAACAAAAGATCAGCGCGGACATTTTACAGGTCCAAAATTGCTGCTCTTATTTTCTTTTGAATTTCTGTTAAGCATGGGTTCCTCTGTAGGCTGAAACATTTTAATTTTTTCTTTTTTTTACGATGAAAACAAGTGCCGCTACCATGTACGCGCATCTACGTCATGCATGCTTTCACACATACACACATCCTCACAGACCCTTAACCTTTAAAACAAGGACCTCTCTGCTGAGCCCAATGATGCCTCTCACGAGAGTCTACGAGAAATGGTTGACTGGTAATGGAGGGAGGCGTGGTTTAAGTATAGGGGTAGGGCTAAACCACATCAATGAAAGAGGTTGTCTACGACAAACGGCTCATGAGTTATGACAGAGGGCGGGGCAATCTGTCGCTAATGAAAGAGCAACTTTATGTAACTTTTTGTTACAGGCCACTCTCTCTGCCACAGCCCCTTTTTTGCCAGTTGGCATGGACACAAGCACACACCTCCAATCACACATCGACCTGAAGAAGGAGTCTCTGGGGGCAAGATGCAATATATCTGGGGTTCTTGTGTATCCGTGCACAGATCACGCTCTACAGTCTGATTAGCAACTTGAGATGTGAGCAACAATATGTACGACCGAGTTGCCAGTATACACGCTAATTTGAAACCGGTGAAAAGCAAAATCATCGCCCAGATTGCATTTCGGCCAATGCGTTCCGCACAGACCTGCATTTGACCAAAGCCTGCTTGGGCTACAAACGGACCACCAAAATGTAGTCCCTTTGTCTGCAGACTGCACATATGAGTGCAGAATGTGTGGAGACGGGCTATGGAGCTGCTGGTTGCATATTATTGACTGGGCTGGAGGTTCAATTGTAGATGTGCTACAAGGTTCACGTGAAGGAAAGTAATAAATCAAGTAAATATTTTTGAGCAACTCCCATCCGTTTATGACGGATGTTCTGCAATCACAAATTCAAAAGGCAGCTGTATATTTTTCAGATCAAATTATCATGTGAATTGCCATATTCAGCAGTGGAAGATAAACAGAAAGGGGTGCTGATCATCTTTTATGGAAATATGGCAGCTCCAGTTAAATAATCTATGCACAGTATGTATATACCTTTCCCTCATGTTTCTTTGAATACATGACCATGGATCGCTGGCTTAAACCATCAATTGAATGGGATTGAATAGCTGCCTGCAGCTTACAGTGAGGAATAAACACTGTGTGGTTCGTATCCTTGAGTGTTTGGATCAGAGCGGACTGACTCATAAGGATTAGCAGATCTGATGAAAACATTACGAGAGCAAAACATACCTCGACAAACAGTCCCGTTCTCCACGGCCTCGTTCCCAGCCTTGCACATACAGCGCCCGATGGGTACCATCCACTCTCCGTCTCCGTTGCAGTACAGCTTAATGGGCACGTCCACCTCCTCTGCGTTGGGTATGCAAACTCCTCTCGCGGCCACCAGGGAGGTGCTCTCCGCTCCGGAGAGTGTCTCCTGGAACAAGGCGCCGTTGGTGATGATGCGAGGGCACTTCCGGTAAAAGACGCGGACGGCGATGAGCGACATGCAGCCGCCGTAGTCCTGGAAGGCCAGGTAGAAGCCGTTTCGTGACACGGGGCCGAAGCTCCGGACTTCGGTGTTTATCTTCATCACTCGGCCCCCGAGGTCCACCTGGGAGAAGCTCTCGTCCGCTGCAATGGTGTCCACTTTGATCCAGGGGTTCTCCATCCAAGCCGGCGAGGTTCTGGTGGCCGTGTCGGCGTCGGATTCGTAGTAATAGAGGTTGAACGTCTCTTTGCAGGACCCCGGCACGTTGGGAATGCTGCTGCAGTCCCTCACCGAGAACTTCATCTCCACGTGGATCCGCTGAGCGCCGCGGCGCCGGATGTACTTTGTCCGTACCCAGTTGTTCTGATTGTTGTCGAAAACATTGCAAACCTGGTACGTCCGGATGGTGTTCATGTTTTCATCGTACCCGCTCACCTCCTCCCACTGTTGGAAAGACAGAAACCAGGAGTTAACACTTCACTATTTTGTAATAGATTTAAATATAGAATTTAATAAAAATAATTGGTAATTGCGGCACAAAGTTAACCTGATTCACTCAATTAGGTGCAATTCAGCTGTAAAGCAGTAAATGGTCCGTGTGAGTTTTCTATTAATACAAACTGCCATAAATCCCCCGCTGGTACCTATTTTTTCAGCATTAACGAGAATGTTTTCATGCATATTTTGTAATACTTTGATTACTGGGAGTAAGCAGCTCAAGCAATGTTTTGATTGATTTGATTACATGGTGCAAAGACACAAAATATCTCCACTAAACCAATTTACATGGATGAATTAGACGAGTCTGAAGGAACAAATGAGAAGCAGCCTTCCAGCATGTCCTTCCATGTCTTAGAGTAGTACTTGTATTATACCAAATCTACTCACATGTTACTTACTCTTCCAGTTAAATATGGTGTTTTTACATATCCATAATAGTCAGAGGAGTGGTGTATTTTAGTGAGATGTAACACATTAGGGTTCATTATTTGTGGATTATGTGTAAAATGACTTCCAAGAGGTACATTTATCCATGAACAGCTGCTCTGTGATTACAGAATGAGTGGGTGTCTGAACTGTGTGCCATCTGTTACCTGACACGTTGTACCGTGTATTACTGTGACAGGTAAGGCTGGCATTATGAAGTCACTTCAGACCTGACTTATAGCATCAATCACATTGACTTTTTTTCCGATCCTCTAAGATGTGCAGCTGCAATAATGGTTACATGACGTTTTCACCATAGACTGTACACAAGAAGTGGACAGTCACAGCGACGTCACCCATTGGTTTGTGGACTACTGTTTTGAAGCCTCGAGATCGGCATTTTTTCTGTCGCCATCTTGTTTTTTGGCTGTCGCAATTTTGTTTTTTGGCTGTCGCAATCTTGACTTTTTACAAACAGAAGTGACACAAGAGGGTGGAGCTAAGGACAACCGAACCCTGAATAAGACATTTTTAGGCGACCGAAAAAGTTCAATTACTTTTCATTGACTTTAAACACACTGTGTTGGGGTTAAAGTTGTAAGACGAAAAGATTGCACAGCTCCCAGAACGGACATAGCTGCCTGTCAATCACAAAGTAGCCCCGCCCTAAAGCATACTCTGCTTTATGGTCTATTTGACTCTAAATGGACCATAATTTACAAAATGAACATCATGCTGTATTGAAGAAGACTTGAAACTAGAGATTGAGAGCATAAACTCATGTTTACAATGTTTACTGAGGTAATAAATCAAGAGAGAAGTAGAGTCATTTTCTCATAGACTTCTATACAACCAGAGGAGTCGCCCCCTGATGGTCATGAGAGAGAATGCAAGTTTAAGGCACTTCTGCATTGGCTTCCCTTTTCAGACCCGGAGGCTGCCGCCTGGTTTATTGCATTTTGGGATGTTACAAAATGTAACCCCTGCTTTGTAGAGGCAGATAGCTCTGATGTTTACCCTCTCACTGAGGAAAACATTCACATCTTGTAATGCTTTTTGGAAAACTGGAGAAACGTGACAATGAGTCACTTGAACAGAGCAGAGAGGTTTTCTGGTCTTATTCGGACACATTCATAGCACACACTGTAATGGGTTACTGACATGCTAGTGAAAGCTCCTCTCACTGCAGTGAAGCACTGAGGAAACATGACATGAATGTTCCACAATCAAAGTCACACTAAACAGACATAATCATATCACACAGGTCATCATCTAAAGAACAATCAAGGGGCAAATTTCAATCCAGATTTTCGGAGCATGCTATTCAACTTCAAAGTGCACGTATTGCACACTAACATGAGCACTCGCTCTGACTGCAGATGCAGCCTCTGTGGCTTCCCTGCCCCTTGGCCACGGATCAAACCAGCTTTAAACACCATGCGCTCTAACCACCGAGCAGGTCAGGACCTTGACCTCGGCATCTCAGCCAAGATAAAAAAAAAATAAAAAACTGTTCTCAACTCCGAGAGCCACTTTGCATCAGCTGCACCCTCTGCTGCCTCTACAACTCTACCCCCACCCCCCTTCACTCTTCACTTCACAGCTGATATAATTTCTCAAATTAGTGCCCACTTAGAGAGGATTTTGACAGGTTGGGAGAAGAAAGTCACCCTTTCTGTTACAAACCGACGTTCCATCAAACACTTTCTGACTAATTAGAACAGCTTTGGTCCTTAATTCCCATGTCCTAATTAATCAGTGCTATAGTGTGACACTCGGCTTGACCCAAACTCAAATTCAAACCACCATAAGAGCCAACCAAAACAGAAAAGACTGATGTGCAGCCAAAAATAATAATAATGAGAGTAAATAGAAAGAAGCGTTTTATCTGCATCTCACTTATCAATACTGGGCTTGTCTTCCTAATGAGCACAGTTGAAGATTGCAAAAACACCATAGAGTATTTTCTGTGTTGTATCAGAGTGCAGTGCAGTGAAGTAGCTTTAAAATCATACTAGTAAATGTGTGCAAGCGACAGCTTATTGGTGCTGTGCTTTAAGGATGGATCTGTCTTTTGGTCCGTACTGGCAGACGTCATCATCGCAGGTCAGGAGCAGCCATTGACCTTCCCACTTGTTGAGGAGCAGTGGGGGGAGGGCAGGGGGCCAATTAAACAAGAGCGGGCAGTCCGCTCCCACTGAGCGCGGAGGGGTCGGACAATCACAGTTTAATAAAATGAATGCGGAGACAGGTGGGGGTTGCTGCTAATGAGGGATGCAGACAGGGGGAAGTGTTGGCAGTGATGTGGGGGGGGAGAGGGGTTGATCCAGGCTAAAAAAGACCCCAAACAAAATGTGTTTTGATGGAGGGCCCCTTTTTGTCCTGTCATGGCCTCTTTGCCCCGCTTTCATCACGGCCAGTGGAGGGAAGCAAATGGGGCATAATAAGAGCCCAACGATCAAGCGCCGAGTGTGAAATTAGAAGAAACGTCTTCATTTTCACAGCTCTTTCCCCCGGCTCTTTACTGAGAGTGCTGCAAAAAGGGTGGTCATGTGTTTTAAGTATAGGAGGTGGAGGTAACCCTGGTGGTGGATGTCAAGATGGATTAGTCAAAGGCGACGAGCTGCCCTCGGATGACGACGGAAACAAAAAGCTCTCCGGATCCTGTTACATTTGGCATAATGCTGTTTTTCTTGTTCTCTGAGTGTGTAAATCAACAGCCATAGGGCTGAGTGCACTGAGTAGTGCCCCACCATAACACAAAATAAATAAGATGTTTAATGGCAGGATGATCAAAAGGAATTTTCTTCAGAACCAAAAGGCATTCCAAATATTATCAAAAGCTAATTTGCATTTGGGAAAGTTCCCGAGACATAAGACTTCAAGGTAAATAAGAAGAAATGTGTTTTTCATGGTACACTGAATGCGCCTCCTTCCTCTGGGGAACACAGAAACAAACTCTTACGATAAATACAAAATAAATCGATGGTGTGAAACCGAACGCGCGACTGGCTCCAAACAAAAAGACATTGTTTCATGATTTAATTGCTCTCCTTGGGCTCCAATAAGCCTGGGTCCAATAGTGTCGGCAAACGATTGCCAGTGTGTGGTTTAACCTGTGGGGTGTTACAAACACTGGGAACGCACCTGCATGTGATGTTTAATGCCGTACCTACACAAGCCATTTGGAAAGAACTGTCATTGGATAGTAATGCTGTCCGATGGTTTCCATAGACAATGCACCCTGAATCTCTCTAAGAGTGCACACCTGCTGTTTAGATCAAGCATGTTAGATATAGATCAAGCAGGAACATGCAGCTGCCCTTTATTGTTCACAAAACTAATTCCTGCACCTTGATTGTCTTGCCAATTCAACCGATTCCTAACCGTTACAGATGTTGCTACACCATCTCTTCTTAATGAAACTACTTTCTCACACCAGCCTTGGGTCCTCTGTGGTGTGTCTATAGTTTACATTACGCTGAGAGACAAAGACAGCCTGTTCGATATGAGTATAGATCGTTGTGGTTAGACTACGACCATATGTCAAGCTGCTCCTCTCTTCCTCTGGAGTTGTGCGAGGAGGCGCTACAGTTCAGCGACGCTCACTGAGAATGAGCTTCGGAATCGATATCTCCTCTGCCGCTCCGGGAGAGAGAGAGGAAAGTTCAGCTGACCTGCAATCCATACATCTCCATGACAGTATGGTCTCTGCTTTATCTGTAAAGCCTGTCGAGCCGCACCGTCGCGCCTGAATTATAGACTGGAGTTACCTCTATCGCTAAGGCCAGTCTCCGAAGACTGATTTTTGCCAACATTAGGTACGATTTTTAACCAATATTTTAATCCTAATTGGTACACGGTAAGGAACAATACATCATTCATGCATTTGTATATAGACTCTAACTATAGTTAGAGCCTTAACAGCCACTTCCAACCGTTAATCCAGATAAAAACGTAAAACAAATCCTCATTTAAAACTGAGAAAGAAACCTTGATATTGACTTCATGTCGAACGATATCCACTGTCAAGGACGGTCATGCGAGCATCAGCAGCCAACAGTCTGCAGACAGATGTGTGTGTGTGTATGGATTTTGATGTGTCATCCGTTATATTGCTCTGTTGGGACTACTGTGCTCTTATTGTGTGCGTTCATACTGCATGCAACACAATCAAGCTGTCAGCATTCTCAATTTCCTGTGCATCTGTGCGACCAGCAAAACTGCAGCCAGCGAGCAGACGGTCAACAAGTTCGTTGGCTGCAAATGGTCGACCACAATTACACTCTTCATGGACACTGGTTTTCAACGACCTGTCAATTTTATTTTTCGTAAATAGATCTGTTTGGCAAGCGCAAGTGGAAGAGTTGTTGATGGACGTTACTGTTTGAATGACTGTTGAAAACTTAAGGGATGATCAAACTAAACAGAGAACTGTAAACAAATATTATAATATGGCAGCCAATAGACTAAGGGTCTGTAGCCATCGGCATCAAAATGTTGGCAACGGAAGTGGC